CAGCAGCTGAGCCAGGCCAGGGCCTGGGCCCTGCCCTGTGTTTCTGCAGACCCCTCTGCCATGAAAGCGTTCTCTGTGTGTGTGTCTGTCTGTCTGTCTGTCTGCAGACCTCTCTGCCATGAAAGCGCTCTGTGTGTTTGTGTGTCTGTCTGCAGACCCCTCTGGCATGAAAGCAGTGTGTGTGTGTGTGTGTGTGTGTCTGTCTGTCTGTCTGCAGACCTCTCTGCCATGAAAGCAGTGTGTGTATGTGGGGGGGGGGTCTGTGTGCATGCGCAAATTTCTCTGCAGACCTCTCTGCCATGAAAGCATTCTGTGTGGGGGGGGAGGCGTGGTCTGGATGGGGATGATCAGAGGGCCCTTTGTCTGGGCTGGTAGCATGCTGGGAGCTCTCTGGGGCAGGGCCTGCCTGCCCCTGTGTATGACATCACCTACCCATGGGGCCCTGAGCCGGGCAGGGTGTCGGGAAGCTGCTGACCCGCAGCTCACTGGCATGTCAGAGCCCCAGTCACTGCTCGCTCTGGTCCCGGAGGAAGGCGTGTGAAATGCCAGCTCTGTGGGTGCACGGTGCTTTCCGCTTCCCGCGGTGGAAGGGTCTCCGTCTGCTCCCGAGGGCTGGATTCCCGGCTGGATCCCGCCAGCCTGCCCCCTACTGATTGATTCTCTGTTCTCTGCGCCGCTTGGAGCCCTCCAGGAAAGCCAGCGTAGCAAAGTCAAACGCCCTGTGCTCCTCTGCCCGCCAGCCAGCCCTGCCCCAACTCAGGGAGGGGCGCGGGGGCTGAATGCGCGTCTCTGGCACATCTGACACCGCACTGGGCGGGCTATAAAAAGCAGGGCTCCCCGCGGGGGTGGCTCTGGGGAGCAGCAAACTAAACACTTGGCCTTAATTAAAGCCAGGCACAAAGAAGCCAGCCCGGTTCCTCAGCAAGGTCTGTTAACGAGGTCAGTCCTTGGGAGCCTTCTCACTGGTTCCCATGGAGCCGCATTTCCCAGCCTCCCGCTCACTGCGGGCCTGACGCACGAGACTTGTCCCCAATGACGGCCTGGCTTCTGGGCTGCCGCTAGACCGCTGCCTGCGTGGCCCGGCCACACTCAGAGGTGTGTCGGTGAGGGTTCCCACTGCCACCTTGCCACTTCCCTGGCGCCTGTACCAGTGCGGCGCTCGTGCGCTAGGATTTACAGGCATCGCCACGCGCGTCAGCTGGGCATGAGGGGGCCTTCCAGCTGTCAGCCTTTGTGCCATCGCTAAAAGGGGGAAGCGCGCTGGGCCGTAAGAGGCAGTGCCAGAGAGCCATGTTGCTCCTGCAGTGTTTCTGACCGCCGTGTGGGACTCACTGGGGAAGCTGTTCTCGGCTTCCGAGTCAATCGCACGTGCCTAGCCCCGAGAGCCTTGGTGGTCTGTGGCGTGACTACGCCACGCTCTGGCAAAGGCCCAATGACGCCGGAGAAGCCGCCTCCCGCAGGCTGCTGGAGTAGCACTGATTTCAACCCCAGGTAGCTGAGCGAGAGGCGGGGGAAGGCCACCCCCTCCCATCTGTGCCCCATGGCTTGCTTGTCTCCCCTGCTCCATCTAGGCCGGTGTGACCCTTCCTGCCGGCCCTGCTGCAGGTCCTGTGTCCTGTGGGTAAGGACTAAGGGGCCACCACTCTGAGTCGCCTCGCTCTTGAGGTTTGGGTGAGGCCGTGTGGGATTTGAAAGGCGGGTCTGGGGCAGATATTCGTCCTGGGCTGAAGTTCCACCCGCAAGGGGGGGGCGGTTTTCCCCAGCTTTGTGCTCACGTTCGCTCCTTACCGGAGCCATTTGTAATGAACCCTGGGCGTGTTCTGCCAGCCCTGCCACGCCCTGCCTGTCTGCTGCCTGAAATGTCGGTGCTGGGTTTGTGGCCGCCGAGGCGTTCTCCGGCCTTGCGGGCTCCATGAACGCAGCACAGCCTGCAGGCGCTGCACCCATTGGTGTCGGGGAGGGGCAGGCCTGCCCGCCAAGAGCTGGCTTTGGCTCTTCGGGCTGGGACTCGCTGCCGGGTCGGACAGACAGAAATCCGGAAACCTTGGGACGCCTCTAGCCAGGCACGCGGCTCTTCGTGTTGTGTTCCACCTGATGCTTTTCTCCCCCCGGCTGTGATCTCCCTGTGCTGCCGCCGGCTCTTCCTTGGCTAGAGGGGGCAGGGAGGGGAAACGCCATCTGAGCAGATCTGTCATGG